AGAGAGCTAAAATACAATTCAAGGATTAAAACAACAGAAAGTTACAGTAAGAAGTCCAGATAAAGGAATTCCCTAAAATAACTGGTGGGGCCACCAATTATTAAGATTAAGGAACCCAACTAAAGAAGATAATTTCAATGACTTCTTTGGATCAGTTTCATTGTCAGGGAGACCTGGAGAACAGTAACTTTGTTCTCGGTCTGTAACAAACTACAAGGTGGGTAAGACTGAGCAGCTAAAAGGGCAGAAATATCCTGCAATGTCATTGCCACCACAGAATCACTGAACAGCTGAGGCTGGAAAGAGCATCTGAAGATTTTCTAGTCCAAATCCCCCGTCTCAGAGCAGGCCCAGCTAGTGCAGGTTTCTCAGGACCACAATGTCCAATTGGGTTTGGAATAATAACAAGGACAAAGACTCCACAACCTGCTCAGGCAACCTGTTCCAGTGTTAGACTACCCTTTCAGTGGGTTGGTTTGTTTCTGGTTTTGGTGGGGTTTTTTTCATTTTATTTCAATGGAAGTTCCTGTATTTTGTGTCCATTTCCTCTTGTCATTTTACTGCGCACCACTGAGAAAAGTCTGGCCCATCTTCCTTGTTGTTTCCCATCATGTTTATTATACACATTGACAAGACCCCCTCAGAGCATTCTCTTTTCCAGGCTTAACAACCCCAACTCTCTCTACCTCTCCCCATATGTCAGACGCATCAGTCCCTTAATTATCTTTTGGTCCTTCGCTGGGCACCAGAGAAGCTGTAAAACTGGGCTCGCAGTCCCACCGGTTCAACCAAGGAATCACAAAAGCAGCTGCAGGTAAGTGAGTAGAGTACCTACCTATGAAGCTTGCTCTGCCACTTACAGTGGTAATAGTATGACACCGCACCCTCAAAGAAACTGAAGCAATAGAAAAACCGGTGCTGGAACTAAGTGATACATTATAAACCACTGCATCACCATGTCCATGGTGCATCCAAGTGTTCTCAAGGTACTGCAGAGTAAGACATTTACAATTATTAAGCTTTTTCTTAAAAACAGACACTGCTGCAAGCATAGACTTGTATTTTTAAAAGGGTTTGAAGGTGACATGCAGAAGAGTCATATGATATGGTGTAACCAGCTGTACCAGTAAGGATTCTGAAAGAAAAATATCATGCTTATTACCAGAATTAGCATGTCAGTATAACACTATATACAGAAAAACTAGCTGAAACAATTATTTTAATCTTTCAGAAGGCCTTATACTAAGAGACGGGTCAAGAAATCAAATCGTCATAGTGTAAAAGAAGTAAGTACTGTCATAGCCAGAAACTATACAGAAAATGTTGATTAATGGTCTACATTTACCTTAGTAAAACAATAATGCTAATTTCTCACCCTGACCCAATAAATCAATAAATAAATAGATAAAAGCAAGCAACTGCTCCTCTTCATATCATTAATCCACACTTAGGAATTGTGCAGGACAGGCTTCCTGCCCTTGAGTTTTCCTGAATCTCTGTTGCCACCACCAGCACAGCCAGGATACTGGAATGATGGTCCTTGGACCTGATCCAGGACAGCAATTACCAGAACTCAAATGAATCCTGATCTTCATGGAAGAGTCTGTGGATTGCTACCTAATACAGAGACTAATAAAACTGTATTAACTGGAGGCAAAATGAAACAGCTTCACCTATCTTCCCGACTACAAACTTCAAATGAGTATGTGGTATTACAGATTTTTTTACATTAATCCAAGGCCTGTAGATTTTCACATACAGTATGGCCTACATCATGTTAGACTGAAGCAGGAGATATTCATCCATCTACTCCAAGTCTCAGCTCTTGATAAAGTAGCAAGGCATCTTCACATCCTTGAATTGGCATTTTAGCAGAAATCATAACTTATTAGGTCTTTTAACATTTCATTCCTCAATCAACAGAGCCTAAGGTCGCCTGCTCCAGTCACTAAGACGGCTCTCCATAAACTTTTTTAATTAAAAAGTACCAGACACGGTTTAGAAACCCCAGAGAAAACTCTTGCAAGAGCTTTGATGTTTCTGCTGCATTCGTCTGAAGGGATCCCTCTATTTAGGAAATGGTTGCCTTAAAAAGCCCTCTCCCCCCTCAAACACACATACACTCAAGCCCTTTTACACACAACATCCTTTTCATGCCAGCTGCAAGTTGGAAAATGAGGTTTTTGTAGCGTGTTAGTGTTGGAATTTTTTAATAACCTCCCCTCTCTTTTTTTCCCCTCCTGACCAATTATCTTGGTAAATAATTAACATTCTGAAGGAGATAAGTAAGCACAGCATCTCAGAGCTCAAAGCCCTTTAGTTCAAAGCCCTGCCCTTTTCTCTTTGTTTCCCTTCGGCAGCCACCGAAACTTCCTTGTCAATCAAGCTCTGGGCACACACATCAAAGCTTCATGGGGGAATGGCCCCAAGGGGTCAGAGAAAATTCATGGCAGGGCCTGCATGAGGCACAAAGAGAAAAAGAGAGTGGGAAACACAGACCAAGAGCTAGACAGACACACTCAACCACACAAACACACAGACAGAATGTGCCTCAATATAAACCTCTACCCTATTAACTCACAGGTTGACAAACAACCATAGTTCCAAGTTTCAGGATCCAGGTCCACAACCATTTCCCACTGCTGGCAAAACATCAGTCCAAATGTTTCAGTTCAAAATCTTTTAATTGAAAGAAACTTAAAGGAACTAGACAGCAGCTCACAAGTATAC